CAATCACTATAATCCATATAAATCTTCTTGCAATCAGTAATAGCAATATATACATGTGTGTGTATATATATATATTTATATTTGGTACTCAAAGGATTTTCTAGTCTTATTCCAAGCAATCAAGGACATATGTGTTAAAATAACCATGGTACTGTAGAGCAGTCTTGTAAATACCATATGTCAGAGGAAAAAATACACAGCTAAATGCATGTCGGCATCAGCTCCTGCAGTTTTGTAGGAGTTCTGGCCATGGAAGTGAAGCAAAGCTGGGCCAGCTGGAGGTTCAATTTTACACAGAGCTTATGCTGTGCTCTGAAAAGACAGGTGAGGATGTGACTAGAAAAATGACCTGGGACACAGCAAACTGGAATTAAGCTCATGTTCTGCTGCAAATTTCTTATATTGGAAGGAGTTACATTTCATGCATTATGTTGCATTGCCACTTTTTGTGTCTCTATTCCAAGAGAAACAGAAATAACAGTACTTTCTTGTATCTAGTCCTTACTTAGTCTTGTTTATCTAGACTGTAAGTTCTTTAGAGAGGCAAGTGCGTAGGTAAAAACTTTGTGATCAGATACTGAAATAGGAACCTGGAAAGAAAATTTCGAGAACTACATCAGGAAAGGGAACTATGGGAAAGTTGGAATGGGAAGAAGACACAGAAAGAGCTTATTATCTTAGTGTTCCCAGAGCAGAACTTAGGTTTCAATCAATAGACCCAAAATCTATATTCCTTAACTATAAGCACATCACTAGAGGTGTGGTCAAGGCCCACAATGTCCTGGTATCCTCCCTGATTGAAAACCCTTCCCTGAACAGGTAGTACAGACTTTCCCTGAACTCCAGATCAAAGTTTTGATAAAGCCAAGGCATGCAGGTTTCCATGATCTCTGTAATCAGTGTGGATGTTGGAGAAGAAGGGAATGAAAGACCCTTTAGTTAGTACAGTAAAGGTATCTATATATTTTCTTGGTCATTTGCCAAAAAAGGGATTGAGGGTATGCATTTTCCAAAGAATGCATCCTCAACCCCTGATTTTTTAAAAAGGATGTATGTGAAGACAAGTTGTTGGTTCAAGATTGTAAGAAACTCTACTGATATGGATAGAAACTAAAAAATCCAAGAAATCAATGACTTACCTATTTAGATAAAGAAACATTGAAATACTTGGCAGTGATCCCAGTTTTATCTTCTCTTTTCTAAGAGTTAGAGGTTTTTAACTGTGCAACATATAGCTGGGCATTAAAGAGTTTCACGGCCTTTTAAATCCTACCTTGTCTGTCTTCATGGATTTGATGCCAAAACTAAATCAGGTAAAAATCAGCTGAATAATTAAATCTGCTGGGGGAAAGGATGGAACCTGTGATTTGCCTATATAACCGGTAGTGTTGATAGAGCCTATGGTTTACAAAGGGGGGAAAAGGCAGCAAAACCAAAAAGTACAAACCCTGTAAAGGTTAGATAATGATTAACACAAGAAAATAACTGACTTCCTTTTTATTTCCACTTAATCTGATGGTAAAGTAGAGATGGGAAGGGTGATAAGAAAATCTGCTTCTCTGTGTTGTAACAAATAAAAAAATATTAAGCTGTACTTAAGATCCATAGCTCTGGATAAACCTTCTTTTGAGGCTTGGCCAGAATGTCTGCTTCATCAAAAATCATTAGTAGGATACATCAGTAGAGGGACAGAAAAAAAAATTCTATTTAAAAAATTCAAGTGCTTTCTGAGCATATGGAGCCTGGCAAAAATAGTCCCCTTCTTACAATAGTCCCCGATGGGTGAGATTTCTTCAGAGAAATCTTGGAAGAATTGATGGTAAAAGCTGGAGAAGCTGGGAAAATGCTGAATTCAGCAAACACTTTTGGGGACCATCAATCCAGCCTGTGACCACTAAATCCTTCTGGGAGTCATCAAGTTATTTTAGAGAGATGATATAACCCAGATATTCTGTGAAGAGATCAAAGACCATTTGAAGGAATACTTTTCAAAACAGCATGCATCTGCTGGTGACAAAGAAGAACCTCTGGAGTTTCTGTGTGTTTATGCTACAAATAGATTACCAAAAACCCCCCAGAATATCTCTTAAGTTGTAATCGAGAAAACATTGAAATTTACCAGGGCAATGCATATATCAGAAGTAATAAACACTCAGAGGGGCTATATGCGGCTTACAGGAATGTTTACTGTTATTTTGAACTGCTTTGAGTTCCTTTTTCCTTCAAGTCTAGTTTTGTAAATGCTTCATCAATCTACAAATGATTCAGTTTTTCAGATATCAAGGACAACATTCTGGTTTTAGTATTAATTTATGGATTTCTTGATAATCATTGCTGAATTTAAGGGAGGTATTAACAGCTCATGAATTTGAGGTGTTTTAGATTAGTTTTCTAAATTTATACAAAGTGAATTTATACAAAGTGAATTTTCATTAGTTTTAGCACCTGTTGGGAGTAAATGCAGTCCTGTGGCACCCAGATACTGCATCAATACAACCCAAGGCAGGCTTGGTATGACAGGAGGGCACTATGTCTACATTTTCTTAGAAAAAACAACATGAGCATCCTTTTAGAAGCCATGAGTATTTCTTGCCCTTGCATGGCATGTCCACAAATCTTGTAACCTGATGTTACTTTTACTGAATGTTACTTCAGTTACCTCACTGAAGTATCTGTACTGAAGAGACAAAAAGTATCAATAATGTTGTTCTTTGTTCTCAAGAACTTGGAAATCATTCAAAGACCAGCTCAGTTCCTAGAATTGATGAAAGGGAGAATTTCTTTGATTTCTAGCTGTAGCAGAACTACTGACTCCAGGCATGGCTTTGAGAGAGGGTTCTGTGATAGCATTTCTCACAATGTTCATGTGGGGAGATCATTACTGGTGAACACCACTAGATTTTCTATTTCAGCTCACCCAGGTGTCTATACATATCCAGAAGGTATTAAAACAATCTAAACACAAGGGTGTACCAGCTCTGCCTGGGTGTTTGTTTTCTTCCTCAGCAGCTGCAGTAAGTGACAGTGCCGTAGAGCCACGTTTTGCTCCAAGTTTGTGACTAGCCGGCAGGATTCTGCCCAGTTCTCAATTACCCTCTATTGCCCTGACTTTCATTTTTTGAGTTTCACTTCTGTCAGCAAAATTTAACTGATGTATCCCTATGTAAGATAATCTCAGTAGGAAATATTTTCAATATTCTGCAATAAGGGTCTACTTTTTATTTCAAGGGAGAAAAACTTGACACTCTCTTTACTGGAGGGGAGTTCTCAGTATCCCCCTGGCATAGTCCATGCTAGAGCAGAAGATTGATCCAGAGAAACAAATCACAACACTTTACAGAAGATCCCAAGTGGCTGATTAACCCGGAGAAATTTATCTGACTCTGGTGAAATTAGGCTTCTGAAGAGCTGTTCATCCATCCTTCTGTTGCTCCTGATCAGATTGCTAATGGAGACAGAGCAGTGGACTCTCTCTGTTGTGCTGGTTTTCACCTGTGTGTGGAGTTAAACAGAGCCTCATCCCAAGAGCTGAAGTGACCTTGGTGTGACATCGCACCGTCTGTGCTGTCCAGGTTTGTAAATACTGCACAGGGCGTGTACGCCATCCATAGGCAGGCGGCCCCCTTGGTGACGTTTTGGCAGCACATTTGTCATTCCACTAAGGCAGTCAGATCAGAATCATGTAAAGCAGTCAGGAGATGAGGATCCTTGTCAAAGTCTCAGGAAGCAGACTAGTAATCTGCAGAGGCCTGAATAGAGCTTTTAAAATTGGAAGCAGAACTGACTGCCTAGACAGAGTTTTTGAAAGATAAACAGCGTCAGCAGGCTAAATGGATTTCAAGCACAGCTTTAATTGTTTTTCAAGCGAATCAGCAAAGGGCACCCTAGCTGGAGCAAGCTCTGAAGTACAATCAGGAAGATTTCAAATGTACAGTGGTTTTGAAGATGATCAGGCATTTCAGTGCTAAAAGATACTGTAGTAAGTAATGAAGAAAGACATTTTACGGTCGGCATTGAGAGTAAAAGACACGTAGTCATTGAGTCAATTACAATACCTGCCCTATGTGCATGATGAATTTCACCACCCTCATTAAAATTGACATGCACACTGATTTTCAAACCTCAAAGATTGTCTCCGCAACACACTTGATCAGAAGAACAAGTTGTTTATTGCCAATACTTACTGCGTGTGGAACACACCCCATTCTCTTCCTTTCCCCCAGTCTTCCCCCTCCACCCAACCATCCCAATAGCTTGTGACAGACTAACAACACTTCTGAGTGGATTTTACTGTAATTCTTCAGAATCCCTTGGACCTTGCATAATGGAATTTTTTTGGGTCACCAAATCGTGTTTCCTAATTATAGGAATGATAAGAAAAGAAAAAACCCATCAGATATAATCTGAAACGATTCCCTTATTCTGGCTTTTTTTGCTTTTAGAAACCTGGGATAACCCACTCGCTTCCATCTGTTTTGGGCGCGCTCTGTTTTAACCTTGAAGTCAAAGCTTTCCTTCACCTCCTCTTCCTACCTCTCTCCTGCCAGCTCCTCTCCTGCCGGAGCGGAGAGACCCTCCTGCCCCCAAGCCCTCCTCGCTGGGGAATCATTCTCCCCCGCCCGCCCCCGCTCTCGGTTTTGTTCCCCTCGCGGGGAGCAGAGGCGATCGGGACGAGCGGGGGCTCCGCCAGCGCGGGCACCCCCGCGACGCCCCCGGCCGCCGTTCCCGCGCTGTCACGCACCCCCGCACCGCGCCGGAGGCAGCGGCGGCCGCCGGCCGGGCCGCGAGGGGAGCGCGGGGCGGAGCGCGGGGCCGCGGGCGGGGCGGGGCGGGGGCGGGCGCGGGGGGAGCGGCGGCCCCGGCGCCTGTTGCCCCGAGAGAGTTAACGGTGCGGGGAAACTCGCTCGCCGCTCCTCCGCCCGTGCCGGGCGCTTGGCAACCGGGGCGCCGCGCATGTGGGACCGCCGGGGGCCGCCGCCCCCCCGCCGGGCCCCGCGTCCCCCTCCCCGCCCCGGACAAGGCGTTTAACGTGCCCAGGCGTGAAGTATGGCATGCAAAGATGGTTTCTGCCAAGGAGCCAGCCATCGCCATGTCCTCGGGTCTCTCCATCGCCCTCCTGCACTGCCTGTGCCTGGCGACCTGGTGAGTAGCCCGGCGGCGGCGGCGGCGGGGGACCCGGGCGGCCGGTCCGGTGCCGCCGCTCCCGCGGGCTCCCGGCGGCTCCGCTCATCCGCTCCCTCTTTGCCTCGCAGTCTCACCGGGCCGCCAGGGCAGACCAAAAAAGAGGAGAAATTGTGGCCGGAGAATTTTACCAACATCCTGAACAGCCTCCTGGATGGCTATGACAACCGGCTGCGACCGGGATTCGGGGGTACGGTGGCGGCGCGGTGCCGGCGGCGGGCGGGGGGTCGCTGGGCTGGGGCGGGGGACGCGGCGCTCGGCGCTCAGACCGACCCGCTGCTGACCGAAAAGGTGGGGGTGTGTCCCCATCCGTGCTGCGGGGTCCGAGCCCTCCGAGAGGGGCCGGCGGAGAGGCAGAGGCTGGCCCGAAAGCCCGGGGGTGCTGCGCAGTCCCGGCCGCGGGGGCCCCGCTGGGGCGGTCCCGGGCTCAGCCCCCGCTTTGCTGCTCTGCCCACATCCCGGCATCGGGCGGCTGCTGCTGCGCTGGAGGAAAAAATAAGCGCTGAGGCTAGTGCGCGTTGGCTTGGTGGGGACGGAGTGACCTGTCTGTCTAACACCCATATTCCTCTCGGTCTTGGCAGGTTTTGACCCGTAAATGCCACGATCGGGTCCTAAAAGAAGCAAGTGTACTTTTAGCAGCCTAGGAGGTTAGGTCTGATGGATTCTGTTCCTCTAGTTAGGGAAAATCAGAGCTCAGGTGCCAGTTCTTTACCACAGTTGCTGAAATTCCAGGTTTGATTTAGAAGTCGTAGACTTGATGGCTGTATAGGAATTAGACGTGGCGGGGTTTTAAATTTGCCTTCCCCTGTGCTCTGCGTGTGGGGGTTTTGGGCCTCTTCCTTTCCCCAGGCTGTTAAGATGCAGTTTTGTGATGCTGAAGAAGCAGCCAGACTTGCTGTTCTTTATGATTTTGATGTTTTTGTGCAGGGTCTTGGAACCAAAAATCGTTAAGATCCAGGCAAAATAAAAGTTTATTTTGTAATCTGGAAAGAAGGTATTAAAAACGCAAATTTGAAACTAAAAGTAATATTAAAATATTTATTAAAAAATGCTACAGACCTTTTCATGATGCTCAGAGCTGTAATGAGGTTTTTATAGGCTGCTTCCAATACAGGATTGAATGAGATCCTTGCGTAGGTTTATGTTGCAAAATACTTTCTTCCTCCTCTGAAAGTACCTTCTCCATACATGTGATCCATCCACACTGACACGTATGCCAGCACATTCCCCACATGCCATATGCAGTGCTCTCACATGCATGACTGTGGTTGTCAAAGGACAGCACCTGGCACCCATGGACCACTCTCATTATTTTGAGTGTGTGGAATTAATGAGGCCTTCTTAAGTTAGCTTACACATCAAGTGAGAAGGAAGCTAAATTTATTAACACCCGGAGGAGTCATTGGGAACTGATAGTCTTTTGCAATTTAGTCTTTGTGGAGAGGTTACAGACACTTCTGCACGCGTACAAGAGATGTGCTAAGTTTGGCATCATTTTAGGTTGAATGCCAAGTAATTAGTCATCTAGAAAAGATGCTTTATGAGCATTATCAGATTTCCAAAATTAAACAACCACTAAATATGTAATATATGGTGATTTTTATTTTAATACAGTTGTCCTTTGCAAGATGTTTTGCAAGAGTAGGTATTTTTCCCCTGTAAGTGTGGAAGACTTTCAGAAAACGCAATCAAGGAGAAAAAGTTCATTGTATCTTCTTGAACTTTCACATTGGGAATATTGAAGTAAATGAGAGAGGGAAGCAAAAACTCAGATTTCAGCCTGGGGAAAACATCTCTGGGCCAATATTTCACAAAATGGATATTATTTTGCTTCTTCCTTCCTCATAACTATCTCTATGGCTAACATTTAACCACTCATCTTTGAGTTTTGAACTTTTAAGTAAAACATGGAGGAAAATGCTTTGGTTTTAAAAATGATGCTTGCCTCCCTAGCTCCTTACAGTGAAAATTATCTACACCTGATTTGAGAAGAACAACTTTGGATTAAAAAAAACCAAAAGCAAAACCAACCAAAGACAGAAATTTCTGTAATGGATCAGATTTCACTTTTTGACATTGCTCAGAGTAATAACTAAAGACTATTTATTGAAATAGAGAATACAAAAATCAACTTTTACCTTTATTTTGGGGCTTTTTCCTGATAAATCTTTATCAGACGTGGGATTTGTAGCTTGAAAGTGGGTCACTCACTAGTTTATAGCATTGCAAACAAAATGTCAGAGGGGATGGGAATATTCAGAGACGGAAAGTGTAGTGTGTTTTGGTAATGTTAAAGCTACATCACCTTCTGATGAACAGCAGAATACTTATTTTTGTTTTCTTCTTGAAGCTGATTCACCATCTAGTTTTTACAGGGCCTGAAATGAAACGAAGGTTTCATTTTAGGAACAAAAGGCCTCACAGAGAACTAACTGATGCTGATTTTAAACTTCATATTGATGAAAATATTTCTAATTCTGGCACAAATTATGTTTAAAATCAGACTCGGGGAGGTAGCCAAATTCTGAATTTTGCTGGCATGTTACAGCATTACCACAAATAAAAATACATGAACATAATTCACACGCGGAGCAAAGTAGAAAATGTTTGATTTTGGAAATTGCCTACAACTGGATCAATATTCTCCATACTATCATTAATTTGCACAATTTTCGGTAGTTTTGGAGGAGAAGTCAAATTCCCTCAGCATGCTTACAAATGTCGACGTGGTCTCCCAGGAGAGTTGTGAACACCAGTGGAGTATGTGGAAGCTTCTCTTGGTGGTGGATATGCATTGACACCTTAAACCATAAGTTCACTTAATTAAATGAATTTAATAAACTTAAAAAGTTGCTGTCACCTTAAGATGCACTGCGAGGTTTGGTAGTGTGAGAAACAAAACCAGACGTGTTTATTAAAAAGGTTACTAAAAGACCAATTAGGTGAAAGTTCAATTAAGCTGAGGCAGAGGGAGAATCTAACTCTCTAGATTTGCTACTCTTTAGTAGCAAAGAAATGTAACCTAGCAATTGAATGAAATAAAGCAGAATGGGCAGTTTCATGTAGGAAAGGAAAAAAAGCCCTGCAACTGCTGTCAGGAAGACTTTAAATGCATAAGAGTTTTGAATTTGGGTAGATGGAAGGTATTTAGAGACTAATGAGTAAAGTAATGCTGTATGATGTTTGAAAATAGTGTGATGGAAGTGAAGCTAGTTCATTCCCTACACTGTATGTTCTGTTATACCCTTATCCTGAATTTCTGCATGCAATTTATAATCCAAGTAGGTTTTGTGGTCAAAACCACTCTATAAAAACAGTGTTTTTACAGAAACTGCTTCTAGTGACATTAATTAAAATCATCTGCTGGAAAACTTCGAGCGTACTACCAGAGTTGATTCAGCTGGAAAAGTTTGAAGTAGAAGCATTTCTAGCTAAACCCTGTCTACAGTTTTCATCTGCTTTTAAAATTTTGTATATTACATTAAATTTCAGAAGCTGTATTTTCTCTGGAAATCACCTTATTTTCTGGTCGTTAGTTTCAAACTTACAGTAGAAGTCCAAAGTCTTTGAAAGGAGCCTTATTCACTTGAAGTAAAAAGCCTGGGTCTGATTTGCCGTTTTAAACCCTTGCATGGTTTCAGACTTTACTTGAGTGACTCTTGACATTAGTAAGGGGCCTGCAAGAGCTGATTCAAACCTGTATTGGATAGTAACTTTGAAAAATATGCTGATGTCTTTGAAATTGTCATGATACAGTACCTAATCACACTTACACCTGGATTAGAGATGTAGGAAGGAGTAAGAAGACTGAAGCTGATGAGGGTGACAAGACTGTGTGCTGCTGTGTATCTGCTAATTTTAATGAATTGCGCCTTTCAGAAAACATCTGATCTCTGGTATCTTGCTTTTACTGGCCAATTGTATGGCCAACCAAAGAAAGAAAGTGGTGTGTGACTTGCCTCCTGCCCCAGGCTCTCAGGCTGGCTGTGGAAGCCACTGACCACACGGTGTGGCATCACCCACAGCCCGCTGCTGATGTATTGTGGTGTGGTTGCCCATCAGCTGGTGAAAGATGGAGCCCTCTCCCTTCCTGAGTTCTGTTAATTTGTGTGCGTTAGAACCTGGCATAAGTTTTGAGTCTCGCTATCAACTACTGGTGTTAGCTCTGTGGCTTTCTCTTTGGAAATTGCCACATCCGCTGCTGACTCCTGAATAGAAGGACTAGGACTGTGTTCATCTATTTCCCTTTTTCTTTTCTTCCTCCCTTTGTGTTCTTTCCCATGATCTTGTGATTGAGTGCAGCTCAGTTGTGCAGCTGAGTACTTGGTGGAATTAAATATATTGGCCATTGTCTCCCCTAGGAAGGGTAGGAGAAGGATTCTGTGCCCCTTTAGTCTGTGTGTTGTTCAGCTGATGAACAGCATTTCTGAAGAGTTTCATTTCCTCTCTATGCAGGACTTTAGTCAGAAAATAAACACAGAATACATTTGAAGTGCAAAGGCAATTTTCTCTTTTTAGAGAAAATAAAAATATCTGCATGATTATTTGCTCTTACTAGGAACTCAGGCGTACCTTAAAGGTTCCATTGCTCAGCATAATAGATATTATAATTTATTTTTACTATTTAGATTGCAAATGGACTTGAAGTGAGCATTGAAAAGTGAAGTGGGTCATTTTTTTTTCCCGGCAGTTGTCCATTCTTTCTCAGCTGGTGAGAGTTGATGACTCAAAGCTTAACAGGATATGGTGTTAGATACCTGTAGGTGACAGATTTGAATTTGGCCTCCGTTAGTAATGCTTGAAGTCATTACCATCTGTCTGTTGTTCAGTGATCTGTGTAAAATTAGCTGATATTCTTAGTCCAGTTCTTAGTAGACAGGTGTCCACATCATGAAAACTGGCACCAGTAGCAGGCTTATTGGCTGGCTCAGCAGAGATGTTTTGCTGATAAATAGGCAAAGAAATAGTAGTCTCCTAATTTCTAGAGGTATACTTTTCCCTTCTCAGGTTCTGACATGCTGATGGATGAACATACATAGAGATAAAGGTTATTGTGTGCTGCTGTGTTTGTTGTATTGTAATTTGATAGAGAATGTAGCCCATGTGTTTGAATTCTGCATTAATTTTTTAAAAATGCCCTATCTACTTCTGGCTTCTGAGCAGAATTCTTACATATAGCAGGTGACCTTAGCTGTTCTTTCTGATAGAATGAAACAAGAGAACATATTTCATATGATAGGGTTTTTTTTTCTTTTTTTCCTCACTTAAAAAATGTCAACCCTATTCAGGCAGCAAGAACTTGGAAAGAGAAAACACCAAATCTTTCACACATAGTTATATTTAAAAAAAAAATCTGTAGCAACTACTTTTTTTTTTTTTTTAAATGTAGCTGTAGGAACTGATATAATATGATTTTATGTGGTTTATATATCCTGGGATTGATCTCATAATAGCACCAATAACTGCACAGCATAACTGCACTTTGTATGTTGAAACCTTTGTACAGGCTTGTTTGTTAATGTTTCCGATTAGTTGCAGGACCCTTGATGGCAAAATTTGCAATATACAGAAAGCTTGTTCAGGATTTGAGTGTTTACATTCAGCAGGGATCTCTGCAGTCACAGTTGCCTATGGAGACGCAGGGATAATGGAACCCGAAGTCTTTCACTGGGAGCTGTGCTGCAGTTCATCCCATATGTTGACATAAAATGCATGGGAGAGCTCTCTTGCACTCCTCTTCCCAGGGTTAGGGCCTGGCATCACTTCTTCAGCCCACATGTAACATCTATAACACTGAACTATTCTGGCTTTTTGCAGGGGTTGCTTTTAATCCTGCCTGAGCTTCTTTAAAGTATATTATCTTGCAAGCAGTGATTCAGACGTAACTGTTCCCACTGCAGTGTGTAGGACTCTCCTCCTATTTCATTGACATAAAAATACACACCAGTACGATATAAATAGTTCTTCAGCATTCCTGAAGATTTATGGTGGATAGATACTTTGTGAAGATCCATTGAGGGGTAAGCCCAAATGGTCATATTTAAAGTTAATTGGCCTTCTTACAACTCACTGCATTTTATTGCCAGTAATAGAGCGTTAAGGATTCTAATAGGATCTTCTGCTTGCAGAGCCTGAGTTGATTAAGTGGTGCAACACATTCGTTTTGGAGGGCTGCTTAAATCACCAGTAAAAGTAGGTTAGGTGACTACAGATCACCTCCTCGTTGACAGGAATTCCCACGATTAATAATAGTTTAAAAAAGAGGCAGCAGCATGACTCACTATTTATACCCCCGCTATTGTTACCAACTATGTTTTCTTCTAGAACAAGAAGAATAAGAGGTAGGTATTGGTGTCGCCATAGATACTCCTGGGTTGGCATTAAGTACTGGGATGTGCTGGAAAATCCAAGATTTGTCACTTCACAACTGTTAAGGCCAGTGTAGGTGGAAGACGTGGAGCATGAAAGGGCTGCAATTGGAGAGAAAGCATTAAGGAGATAATCAGCTTCACTGTCTTTGCTCCTACCAGACACTGAACTGTTTGGCCAAGGTTTTGGCTGCAAATCAAGGATTTGTATGTCTGTACTAGCTGGATAACTGTTATGATGTTTAAAGTATCTCTAGATACACATTCATCTGCCATTTTCTAGTGGAATAAGATGTGATTTTCACATCTGTTTTGTTACTCTTCTGCCATCATGTTGGACAAGCAACTGAAATATATTTGTGGCCTCATAATTGTCTGAGAGTTCCTGCTTCCTTCTTTCTCAGGGGTCATACTAATAAATATTTGAGGGCAGAATAGCAGTTACTGGAGAGTGAATTCAAACATGGTTTTAGTCTTGTGCTGCTGCTGCAGTGTTTCTAAATAGCATTAACTTGTAGGCTTGGTGATTTGGAGATTAGCTTCTTGATATTAGCTTCCCCCTTTCCGAGAAACTTCAAAAACCAGTTGCAATGCCTAACTTCCATGAAGCTGTAATCATTTAATAAAACAAAAGAAATCAATGTCTGAGGAGAAGCAGCTCATGCCTGTAGGAAAATCTGTCCCTTTGCACAATTTGATATGATTGTAAAATTACAGTGTTCTGTGAGCTAAAGAAAAGACTATACCATCAGAGGAAAAGCACTTAAAGGTCTGGGGTTTATTTAAGGACTATTCCTATTTAGTTTCTTAGAACTAACAAGTAAAGCAGTTCCTGAAAGGAATTCAGGCACTTATCTCTGTTACTCAGTAAAAAGGGAGTACTGAATATTGAACGCAGTTCCTGAAAGGGATTCCTTCAGGAACTGAGTGCAGTATTCAGTATTCTCTTATTATTGAGTAACAAAGACTAATTCCTGTATTTTCTTATTAAAGCTATGTGGGAAAATGAATTTTTCACTTCTGTAGAAATGATTGCAGAACTATTTCAAGATCAAATGAAATAAATATCTATTTATTTAAATCAACCCTGGATAAATTTTAAAAGTGTACTTATGGGAGATCAGTGGTAATTGAATCTCATCTATTTCTACATGCAAGTATGACTGGGCTTTTCTCTGCTATTTGCTAGCACTGTAGATAAATGTCTTCACTTCTAATCTCTTGGAGCAATTCTACTCTCCAGAAATCAATATATTCAGGAAATGTCATTGGACCATGTGGTGGTAAAATGAGCGATCGTGGATTTCCCTGACTGATGAATGCTTTATTATTTGGAGAAAGGGGAGCAGCTTCCATGTTCAGGCAGTAACCCCTTGCAAAACAAATGGCCTGGTATGAAAGTGTGTAATCTGGAACTTGGTGGTTGCTTCTTAAAAGCCTCTTTGAGACAGACATGCCAAACTATACAACTTTCCAGGGATCTCTGAGCTACCAACTGTTGTACAGTGGAATTTCTACTTTTATTTTGAAAAAATGCCCTTCTGAGAAACTTAGCTTCCAGCAAGGTAATCTTTTTGACGTTTAGATGAAAAATTCTTAGCTTTTCATCTCTAAATAATTGGCAAATTCTATAGTAAAACAATTTTGCATGGTTCTCTTTTACTTTTTGTTCACAGCTTGAGACTTATTCTAGGTGCAAGAACTTAAATTTCCCTGTTTTCCCATTGCTTACTTCTTTTTTTATCTTTTACCATTTGATTCAAAGTGACATCTGTGAAGACTGATTTTTTAGAATTTTTTTTCTTTTCAAGTGGGACATTCTTCTGCTGCTAACTCTGTTGAATCTTTCCTTCTTTCATTTTTAGATTGCAAATATTATGATAAAACCTGATTTATCAGACTTGAGCCACTTATCCTTTATAGTAATTTGAGTTGTAGGGGTTTAGAATCTGGTTGTGAATTTGTAGATGATGCATTTTGTTTTCAAACAGATACCGTTTGGTAAGACCTTTGGTAGATTTCTTTATCAAACTTATGATGTGAGTTAATTACCTGAATTAAACTGTTAGCTAATGCTTTGATCACAAAATCATCATAACAGATGATCATGATTAGCAGCCTTCTAGATTATTACATTAGGAAGAGACCTAAATCCCAGTGGAATTAGTGCATGTTTTCTTTGGTTTAAGGGGAAATCTAGAGTGTACAGAAGAGCAAATGCCCATTTAAGACTTCAAGGTAGTAAAAGAAATAATACATTAAAATGAAACTGCTTTCTCTGGTGGTTGATTTGCCATAGGCAGTTGTGAGAGTGCAAAACCTCTGTTCAGTGCACTGTTTTTGGCAGTGTCCTAAGTATCTTTGGTTCTTTCAAGACAGACATTGTAGCAGAATGTGCATCTTGGTTCAAACTCTCCAAGGTACTTAGACCTTCAACTTTTATTTTGGATATTAGTATTAAAGCACTTAAGTACATCTCAGGAAGTGGATGCAGTTCTTGATCCTGCGATACTAAATTACTCGGTACATAGCATGCTAATGTCTGTTGCCCAGTTATTGCCTGTAGGTCCAAATATTAGTAATAAATGCTTTGAGGAAAGTGGATTTCTGGGATTCAGTGCTTGGTGTAAGGTAGAATGGTGTTTTCAGTGAGCCTTTTAATTTTTTGGCATCAGTTTTCTTAGCGCTTGAGTCAACTTTGGTTATCTGAATGGGGATTTGCATGGCAATGCTGCTTTTGATTTACTTATGTGGTAAAGGTAATTGTAAAGTGCTTCTTATTTGAGACTTATCTGAATTGACCTCTGTTTGCATTTTGCTCTTGCTCGTCCACAGAACCCTGAAAGCGGTAACTGTTCACACACCAGGATCATTTATGGGAATTGTTGACCTGCAAAATTCAAATTTTCTTGCTCACTTCCTTTTCATACATTAGGTCCTGTTACTGAAGTCAAAACAGATATATATGTCACCAGTTTTGGACCTGTTTCTGATGTAGAAATGGTATGTATTTCTGGGATTAAAATGCCATTTCCTGGTTCTGAGAAACCATTAGCTGCAGTAGGAGTGGATGCTTCATCTGTACTGTTCTGTCAATCATGCAAATTAGGCAAGATTAGTAACAGCTTAATTTACAGGTTATAATTAGATACATAAGGCCTGATTCTGGTCACACTTTCAGTGGGTTTTGGCTGGCTTAAGAAATTCACTTCATGGGATTTAAAACAGATTTTCACGGCACAGAGGCAGAATCCAGCCTTGCAGGGAGTGTCTAAGTAAGTCTACTGTGGGGAAAATGTGTAATATCTTTGAAATTGATTTTCATTTCTGAAACTTGTGGTATGCTCAGGTGAATAGTAATGACATCACTTCAAAAATACTTGTTGACGTTTTCATTTCAGATGAATGCCCTTTGCTGATCCTTGTGCTCCTTTAAGCATCACTCTCAGCAAATGTTTGTCTGAAAAGAGTTTTCACAAGTATATTCAGAAATTAAATGTCCAAGTCACATGCATGAAATAGTAACAGAGGAGAAATATTACATTTGCATGTTCTGTTATTTGTGGCTGAATGGCTTTTGATTTCAAGGTCAAATCCAGCAAAACTCTCATCAACTTCTCAAATACAGTGATGCACCCTTAAATCATGCAGCAGTTGATCTTTTTATAACATAATCAAGAAATCCCATGGAAACAATGCAGCCATATGTGTTGAACTGAACTTCTTCATGGAAAAAGCAGTTTCAGGGTAGTAATTTTCTTCCCATATAGTGCTGTTGTTCACTTTGTGTTGCACTTGATTTAATTTTGTTATATGGAAAGGTATGTGATAGTAAGGTATTTTTTTCCAGAGCTACAGTTGTGACAGCACTCTCATGTTGAAATGCATCTTACCCCTTTGTTGATTATCACGTGCAGGATGATGCTTCTCAGAGTGACAAGGGGTACAAGAATGTGGTCCCAAGGAAATCTAGTAATAAGTGCCTCAAATCTGCAGTGAGGGCTGCATGTCATCTCTCAGGTTTCATTTTCAGGGGAAGTTATTAGTTATACTGGAGCATATATCTAGGCAGAAGTGAGAACATGGACTGAAGATGGGTAAGGAACTTGAAAAAGGAAAGTTGATTTCCCCTTTCTTCATTAAGGATGATTTAGGAGGGATGCAGGAATTGTTTCTGGAATACGCTTCAGTTAATATATCCATTAGTGACCCCATGTAATCTGAATGTGGCTGCACTCATAAAACTTGCTGCAACAGTGACGCGTGCTATGGTCTCAGTACAGGGGAGGTCAGAACGTCTTTTTAGTTGCTTTTGTACCCATTTTCATTTTATGAATGGCTTTCATTTAATGAAAATGGTTGAGATCTTATATTACAAAATCTGTCAGGTAGAAGCTAATAACAGAAACTGCTACGTATGAGCTATGAATTTGCCAGCAAGAAATGACACTAGAGGAGACACTTTTCATGGATTGACTATAAATCACAGTGGAGGATACAGTTGTGGAAAAGAAGATATGGAATCCTAAGATGCATTACTAGTAGTCATGCCTCCTGCCAATGCAAATAGATACGGTTTTGCAAGTAATTTCAGTGGAGACATTATGCAGAAGAATTTGAAATCTAGTCAGAAAACATTGTTTGACTTAACAACAAAATCAAAACTGTAAGTTAGAAAGGACTTAAATGTGACCTTTTTCATTGCCACATGGCAGCTTTTTTTGTGAAATGCTTTAGCTTCCTGGGATGAGAAATGCATTCTTTCATCCATTCATTCACATTTGATTTCTCATGATGTGCCTCTGTCTGCCGTTCTGCAGTTGTTTGCATGTTTTCTTTGGAGCATCTGAGTGGCTTTTCTGAGGAAGTTAATGGGATAGTTACATACTTTTAAAAAATGTAGATATATATGCAAATCTCGATATAATTTATTATCCCTGTTTTGTGGGCATGGCAAAAGATTTACTTAGCTTTCCTCAGTTAAAAGCTTACTTTCCATGAGATGAAGTTGGGTTTTCTTTCCTAACTTTAAAGTGGAACTAATCATTTGTCCTGGTATTTTCAATTTAGCCAGCAGCAGCTGATCAATGGATACATTTTCTTTAAAAATCTGTTGACAATTCTTGTCAGAGATAATTTTGTTTCCAGTTATATGCTTGACTTCCAATTCAGTTGACTGCTTCCTGAAACTTAATTAGGTTAATTATTCCTTAATGATTAAATGTGTAGCAGTTTATTGATATGACTAATGTAAGAAATTAAGCTATTAAGAAATACACAAGACACTTTAATTGGTGGAAAGATGTTTTTGTAGTGGACTTAGGATTTTCTTCTCTAATGATTTCTTTGCTCCTGAGGGATTTTTTCTTTTACAGGAAACACACATGCAAATGTGATCTTTGTTTTTCTGCAATTTAATACAGGAATATACAATGGATGTCTTCTTTCGTCAGACATGGGTAGATAAAAGATTAAAATATGATGGCCCTATTGAAATTTTAAGACTTAACAACTTGATGGTTTCGAAGGTATGGACTCCTGATACTTTCTTCAGGAATGGGAAAAAGTCTGTTGCACATAATATGACAGCCCCAAATAAACTCTTCAGAATAATGAGAAATGGCACCATCCTGTACACAATGAGGTATCTAATGTATTTGTTTGACTTCTTACAATTACTGTATGCAAAAGTTGTACTGCCTAGACAAAATGGCAACCGGAGACTATTTAATTTGTTCCATTATAGGCTTACAATAAGTGCAGAGTGTCCCATGAGATTAGTGGATTTTCCCATGGATGGTCATGCTTGTCCTCTCAAATTTGGGAGTTGTAAGTTGCAATTATCAAATTTCTTGTAACTACAGAATTTAAATAGTAGAATTAAATTTTAAGCAGTTACTAGACTTTATGAATTTAGAGAGTTATGTCTTGATATGCAATCTCTATGCAGAAAAAACTCCTGTTAATTTCCTCAATACTTCAATTTAGTACCTCAAAAATTAAACCCAGAGAACTAAAAAGCAGGTGGTGATTCAGCTATTATGTTAAACCCCACTACTCTGGACGCGCAGTTGCTTGAAATTTGTTGTTTTTCTTGGCTCCTGGGGAGGAATTGGATACTCAGTGAAGTGCGAGGTTATCTGGAGAAGAGAAACTTACCTTTAAGCAGCTGGGTAAAAGACACCTAGGGAAGCAGCTTAGCTGACTTTCTCTACAGATAGTGGAAGCACATTGGCATCTTAAGAAAGAGGTGTAGGTTATGTGCAGAGATTAGATGTCTATTTGTAATTGTCTGTCTGCTGGCCTGTAAGAGGAGTTTGCATGGCAAGTTTAGACAAAATAAATAACTTTTTAACTGGTGCGAAAAATCTTAGTGCAGATGACTTTTCTGCTTTGAAGTCAGATGTAGGTTTTTGAAAAATATCCAAATTTTGGATAGAGGAACAGTTTGGGATTGCTGCATAAAAATAGAGAGGGTAGCTGTGGTTCCTTGATGTGAATGCAAAGCAGAGACCTCTGAGACCCTCTGGAAATGGTTGGTGCCCTCCATTAAGTACCTTGTTATTCTTTTAAGCCTTCTTGGTCACTGACTTCTCTGCTTTAGACCCTCCAATGGCTGGACATTAATCTGTTCTCGTTGACCCCAGAGCTCTGAAGTCAGGAATTGCTGCAGAGCCTTCAGAGATTTTGCATTGCATAAATTTAGCTTATACAGCTGGATAGTCAACCTGAACAGAGGTATGAAAGACACAGCTCTGATACCACTTTTCATCAGCGGAAGCCATGTGCTGCAAGATTTGCCTTTGATATCAGCTGTATGATAGGGGGAATTTGATAGTGGGGGCTCATTCATCGTAACAGCTCTTCAGACAGAATCACCACTCAGCAGGAATTGCTGAACACTAGTCTGATGTTTCCCACAGTGAAACTTGAAATAATGTGTAACCATTTCAAATGTAAGACTGATTTGATTCAATTTTAACAGGAGTTTGGACTGTGTAGGGATTGAATGCTAGCCCTAAGACATGTCTTTTGAATTAAATGTAAAATGTTTCTTTGTGTGTGCTTATTTTGGGGCCATTGTGAATTCTCTGCTGACCTACGGTTTCTGGCAAATATTTTAAACAGAAGTTTAAAATGTTGCCATTTTTAGTATAATCATCTTTTTTTTTTTTTTTTTGTAAAGTAATGTGCGCCCAACCTTCAAAATATATCTTCCTTGTACATACTCTTTTCTTTTTTATATTAGTATATTTTAATGGTAAAATTATAGTTAGAAATTGCTGAAAGAAAGATAAACTTTGCATGCCCAGTAAGGGCTGATCCATAAGGAATTTATGTTTAGTCTTCACATTCATATGTGAAGTGAATTTATGTGTGACACTTGACATATTACCTCAGGTCTTATTTATTCTACTCCAAGGGTAGCTTTTTGGGGGTAACTTAACATGAAAGGTATCTTCTGAAGTTGTTCATGTATGTTTTACTGTTTGGTTTCAGTAGCTTTGGTTTGGTTCTTAGTAAGGCATGAGAAAAAGTTTCCTATTTATGCAAACTGATGCTGTGTTGTAGATGCTTATCCAAAGAGTGAAATGATTTATACCTGGACAAAAGGACCTGAGAAGTCAGTGGAAGTTCCTGAGGAGTCTTCCAGTTTAGTTCAGTATGACCTGCTTGGGCATACGGTATCCTCTGAAACTATAAAATCTATTACAGGTAGGAATCTCATCAGTAAAAGTCAACTTGAGGTAAAACTAACCTGTAACATTGCCCAAAGCCTTTTTTCTTTTTCTTCCTGTACGTTTTATTCTACTGAATGTCATAGGGTATGTATTAAGGGCTGAGGGTGTAAATCTGAATTAGGTTTCTGTCCTTGAGATTTACATTTGCAGATTCATTACAGTAGATTGTGACAGTCTTTCAGAAAGCTAGAATGAGATCATTACTCCAAGGGACAAAATGAGCATTTAATCACTGCTTAAAATGCAGTTTGAAGAGTCAAGAGGATGCCTGGGTGAGGAAGTAATTTCTCAGCACTGTATCCACATTATGTGCAGAAGACTTCCTTTGTTTGGTGGTGCAAACAGCTCGGGATAGAAGTACAGCATACAGAATGGGTTATTAAAACCATAAAAACCCTCTAGCCAGATAAGGGTAGGCACAAATACATTAGTCACAATAGATACTTCTGCTGATTTGTGCTGTAAGAAATAAGGCAAATGGCAACTACAGGCATCCAAAATGACTGAAGTATCACTGATGAGCAGTGTGGTGATAAACAAGCATATTCCCAAAATATTTTTAAAATTTGGAATCATTTCCTAAGCATCAGCAGGTTTGGGTGTTGTGAGATAGTCAAAATGAAACCAATAAAGCAAACATATTTGATGTATTGCTCTATGGATGGTTTACTCAAAGATAAAATGGCATTTTGCAATTCACTAGAAATTTACTTCTCAGCATATAGATTATTATGAGTTAATAAAAAAAAATTCCTTGGTGTCCCAAAAGGCTCATTCTGTAGTGCTGTAGACAGTTTGTTGTGTTTATGGTAAAACTGCTTTTTTGGTCTGTTTGCTTAATATGAATTACAACATTCTAGATAAATTTAGAGTATTTTTAATTCTTCTCAATGATTTGTTTCATTATCATAGTGGGACTGACTTATAAATCTAGCAAAAAGTTGAGATGCTTGAATAACATTTGATGTGTATCATTGTTCTTAATTTTTTATTCAGCAGGTAGGTACCACAATGTTACAGATACTGTGGTAGGTAGATAAATTGTGTTGTTGGATTCTCATCTTCAACAGCTGTCAAAAGGATTTTTAAAATCATGCTTATACTGTAAAATGTAATTCAGTATTAGTTGTATTATAGCATTTTTGATATCAACTTCCGTGTAAGGACCTACTCTTTCTGGGATTTTTAAACAAACCTTCATTCATTCTCGTTCTAAGACGATATCTTTCTGTGAATGTAAAGGTACATGAATAGCATCACCTTAAACAATCCTACTTGAGAGTCTAAAACAAATTTTATACACAGAAAAATATTTTCTTTTTTTTTTTTTATAGGTGAATATATTGTTATGACAGTTTATTTCCATCTCAGACGGAAAATGGGTTATTTTATGATTCAGACCTACATCCCATGCATTATGACCGTGATCCTCTCTCAAGTTTCATTTTGGATAAATAAGGAATCAGTACCCGCTAGAACTGTATTTGGTAATTATTTCCTTTTTTTAACTTTTTCTTGTACTTGCTCTTTTAATAACTCCCACTAGAATAGGCCTTTTCTGTGCCTTGAGGTATACTCCATGCTATTGAAGAAACAAGGGGATAATTTAAATTCAGAGTATATTCCATGCTATTGCAGAAACAAGGGGATAATTTAAATTCAGGGGGAATCTTTCTGTTGATGTATGAAGAATGTTGTTGAGTGAATCCTTGGACTATGAGGAGAAACTTGGAATGTATAGCCAGAAGGGTGGCATGGTAACCTGTAGCAAATGGCTCCTCAGCTCTAGGGATTCTACCTGCTTGAGGGAGCAAAACTGGAAAGGCATGGCTCTGAGTAATACACTCAAGTCGTTAGTCTACATCCAGATCAGGTTTATCCTCCAGTGGATAGTAGTGAAAGTACTTGAAGGTTTATAGAATACTTGTACAATAAATTGTTTTGGAGCGTGTGAGATGTTCCAACGTCTTGTTATCAGGTATCTGTGTCATCAGTGGAAGCTCGCTATGAATAAGGCTTAGATTCTGTTACTGTAATTTCATATTTAGTGCATTTCTTTCCTTTCTGCCACTGCCATCATGAAAATGAATTACAAAAGCAAACTGATCACAAGATATTAAAAGTGATCTTTTCAAAATACAGCTTGAATGAGGTGGCACAGTGAAAATAACAGAAAATCTTCAGTGGAAGACAAAGTGCGAGAATCTAAATGGAAATATGTTTCCTAACAAAGAAATGGGATAAAAGCATTTAAAAAGCTGCCTAAAGCAGGAAGAGAATGCTCTACTAAAAGCCTCTCTATAGACTGCTAGATGCTGGCAAGAGTAATAGGGGCAGTTGTACTGGCAGCTCCAAGTCTTGCAGAAGAATGATTTAATAAAGAAAAATCTGATAAAGACTGTCAGTAAACTAATATTGTCACAGGTTACCTCCTTGTTTTTGGTTAATGTTTGGTCATTTATTTTACTTTACCTTATTTCTACAACTATTAAACAAATGTTTTTAGAAACAATTCAGACAAAGTTTTTGCTTGAAGTGGACAAAGGTCTACTCAGGTCCTTAGAAAGGATGGGGCTAAACAGAGATGGGCCTCATCCAGGGAAAGAAACAAAACCCAAATAACCAACTTTCCCTTGGTTTGTTTTTTTTTTTTTTTCTCAGACTTAAACATTTTCAGTGGTGTGGTTTTCAACACCTTCCCACTGAAGAAGGTTTTGTGAGCTTGCATCTGTATTTTTTATCCTCCTGAAGACTCTGAGAAATCCTTTGAGCTATCATGACCTAGCTGCTACTCTCTTGTTTTTCTTCTTTAGAAGGAAGGACTGATTTACTTGTGAGCATTTCTCTGTATGGCAGTGTGTTGGTGAAGCCTTTTTTATTATATTACCTTGATGGAATACCATCATTTAGCAAATGGGGATGTGAGAAATCTGTTGAAAAACATAATCTTAATGAATTTAAATTCTTCTAAGCATAGAAATTGCATCTTGAATTAGAATGGATACAGTGTTCTTTTCATAAGAGTAAGGACATCTCTATTTGTAGTCACTTATCACTGAGATTATCATACTAGGACTTATGCAGTGTTCAATGCATACTTGGGCTTTTACATTTCTATGATATGGGATATTCTGGATGAAAAAAGAAAAAAGACCCCATTCATTTGTTTTTTATGCGGCATGTGTTTGCATTCAAAGTACTAACATGAAGTGGCCATCTTTTGATGGCCATCTTTAGTGTTCATGCTTCACACATTTTAATTACAGTTGTTATTTCAGAAGATGAAAATTAATTAAATTTCATTGGCTGACTAGTAGCAGAAGGCTGTAAAAAACCCTGATGATTTCTTAACTAACAGAGTTTTTAGCATAATATTCTTCCTTGGCACCAAAATGTTTCCTGGGTTACAAGTGTGATCAGAGACACAGATGCAGAATAATAGGGGGCATCCAGAGCTGTTTACAGGAGAAGTCATGTTTTTGTTGCAGTCTGAGGAGTACTCCCCAATTTAACAACTTATGTCTTATTCACAAGTTTAGAAAATGACTTGTAAAAAATTCAACTGAACTTGACGTGAAAAACATGTAAAATGAAGGCTTCTGTGGTTTTTTTTCATGTGAGCTGTAGATGATCTGCTGAAGTCATGGCTTTCTGTGGCTCCTTTAAAAAGTGGTAAGCTGTTTTAGGACTTAGCTGCTCATGGATATGTGATGCTTGCCATGACTTTAATGCCGTGTTCACAAGCAGCAGAGAACAACTCATATGTGATTTAAAATTCTTTGTTTGAAGGTCCTTGCCAGTTCTTGCCTTGTTTTACTTTGATTCAACAGTTCTTTTGCTTTATTTTTTTCAAGGAATAACCACGGTGTTGACAATGACGACGCTGAGCATCAGTGCAAGACATTCACTGCCAAAAGTATCCTATGCTACTGCCATGGACTGGTTCATAGCGGTTTGCTTTGCCTTTGTGTTCTCTGCTCTGATTGAGTTTGCTGCTGTGAACTATTTCACTAACATTCAAATGGAAAGAGCCAAAAGGAAGACGGTCAAGTCCCTTCTTGAATTTCCAGTTGCTCCAGTACAAAGGAAAAGAAGTACAGAAGAGACATTCACGGTATGTTCACAGCTTATGCAAACATTTTCTGCATTTTTGGTAGTGTTTCTCAGTAAAAATTGGCCTGTATCTTCCTCCTAGGCTCCCTTTGAGCTAATGATAATTGTACATCAGATTAATGGCTAATACTATACCATATTCAATTACAAAGACCTGTAAAACATGATTTAATTCTTATTTGGTTATTGAATAAACTCAGGGGTGAGGTGGCAATTATGTCCATCCATATGTGAAGTCTCTTCTATGTTTGTGTTTTGGTGAAGATCAGTTAGGATGAGAATCTTGAGGAAACTTAGTTTCCTTTTCCTTTTCCACATTGATTCTGTATAGACTGATTATACAGGACAAGATATTGCAGACTATAAGGGCATCATGTTATCCTATGTGGCTAGTGTCTTGAAGCATACAGTGCTCCAGCTGTACCTTGGAGCACTTCTCTAAACATCACAGATCTTGCATTGCATATGTTGTCTGCCAAGAGATTTCTTCCTTTATCTGTTACAATTTCAGGAATTTTTCAAGAGTGTTGGATGGAAACTTTCTGTCTACCATAGATGTTATTTTAATTTGCACAGTAGTTCACCTCAATTGCTGATAAGTTTTTGTGGCTCTCTTTAACAACATGCTTGTCTGTTTTCCTAATGCTTTGGATTTAGTGTGACTTGTGGGGGAGTTGTTTTAGTGTGTGGACTAGCTAATAAGGGCTCAATCTCATTTCCAGTTGGGCTCACTTGTGATTACCCTTTCCTCCATTCTCCCATTCCCAATAAATGGTGCCTACTGTCTGAAGCAGCTGTTGATGAGACATGTAGCTAACAAAGCCACTGCAGCACCTGTCTCAGCCGTGCAGGGGCCATTTCTTCCCAGCCGTGACTGGCTCTTGGCAACGCCGCTCCAGAAGTGAGACGCTGACAGCAGCATTGTGATTTACTTACTCTTCCTGTCAGCCTGACTTTGTAATTTCCTTTGGCTGAGCCAGGATTTAAGAAGTGCTGTTTTAGACTAACTCTTGTTAATTTTGTCTTCTGTCTCTTTTCACATCTCATTTGTCTCCTTCCCTATTCATCCTCTGATTTTTGCCTTCCCACCCCTTCCATTTTCTATCGCTGCGCAGCTGCTGTCCACCCACTTCCATTTTTCTTCCTCTTCTTTGCTCTCCTACAGTAGATACTGTTTTCAATCTCCTGGCTGTGTTGTTATGTTAGCTCCCATTTCTGCTTAGAAGGATAGATATGCTCCTGAAGAGTTTGTTATTTGTCACTCCTGCTGGTAAGAGACAGGAACCAAGAAATATGTTTATAGTAGCACGAAGTTCACCTTGTACACAGAGGCATTAGTGCTATGAGCTTATGCTAAGCTTCTTGACTGTGCAGCAAGAGGTTTAGTAGAGTATCTTGGCTGTTCCTGAGCAGTGAAAGTAAATACTGCTTTTGGTGGTGGGTTTTATTTGGATACCTAGGAAAATAAATTACTTAAGAACAGTTTAATCCTAGGTTTATTTATTAGATTTTATTTTAAACAATAGGAAAGCAGTCATTTACTCAGGTAGCTTAATAAAACTTATTCTCATGGTGGCTTCAAAGAACTCTTGATTCATGGACGGAATTGCTTTAAATTAGTAGTGTGTAATGCTTAGACATTTATACACATTTTGGAGAAGTTCCTCTTTCTCTCCTTTTTTTTTCCCCCAATTGTTCTTCTTCTTCTTGCTATTGCTATTATTTTTTTTTAAAACAGCAGCAACAGAACACACATCTTTTTTCAGCTTGGAAGGTAGATAAAAGGAGATGTGAAGAGTTCTATTCCACTGCTTAATTAATACTGCTGGGATAAATATGGGAGTGTTCTCACAGATTGGGAGATTTTGAAAGCACTCAAGGGAGCAATCTACTCAAGGGGTTACACATTAATGGTTAGAGTATGTAAATGAGTGATAGTGTTGATTGTACCTTGAACTGTTATTTTTTTTTTAAAGAGTTTCTCCTTTATTCTGCCTATACTAAGGTTTGAGACTTTGCTCTTCCAAGACAGGTGTGCAAGGTGAGTGCACAGCTACTGTTAATAAAGGCTTAACTACTGCGCAATCCTTTCTATGACTGGAGGATTACTTCTGGTCTCCCACTGTGCAGAACAGAAGCTAGGATCTAATTCTCTAGAACTTTACATGGATGTTACACCCTGCTTTCCAACCTGACATGTAAAGTACTCCTTGCTATATTTTGCTTCTAAGGACTAATCTATAATTTTGAAAAATTCCTCATTATTATGTATTATATTATTTTATCTTTAATCATTATACTATTATTATTATTATTGAATTATTTATTTATTCCTTATAATGAATCTGACTTTTTTTGTACTGCACAAATACTGTCTAGTCAGTTCTGATAATGAAATCTCAGTTTCCTTGGTGCTGAGATTGGTGGTGAATTTGTGGTGCACAAAGAATCCAGGACAATATCTGGACTGTAGCATGTAATTTGTAAGCAGTGTTTCTTAATGTGAATCTGCACATTTTTTCTCCATAGATAAATGATAGTATTTAGTATTAGTAGTATTTAAAAAAAATCTGTGCTGTGCTGGCGCTGTTGTGGTAGAAATTCTGTTGGTAGCAGTACAATTGCCAGAGTTTGAGGAAAAGTTGTATATTAAACCTGAACTTTTTTTCAAACAGACTTTGCCTATAATACTAAATTTTCCAGTCTCCCAAAATTAAAAATTTTCACTTAGCCCGGAAAGGAAGTGTATGCTTATTAGGAGAGAAGATGCCTGAATACCCAATCCTTACAGTTCTTTCTGTTGAATATCTCACCATTTGCAAAGGGCTTTGGCTCTTCAGCTAACTGGGAGGGGAGATTGCTGCCTTGAGCCTATTAGCCCTATACTTTTGCCTACCTTGAAATGGCATACAGCTGTCTCTGCCCACTTTTTTTGCAACTGGTATGCCATTTGTGTAGGTCCCCTGAAAAATTATGGAACAGTTGAGGTTGTTAAGGAAAACAAACATGGTGACATTATAGTTTGAAATAAGGGTTTTGTTTTGTGAGCTGTTGATTCTATATTATTAACTGTATGGTTTCACTCATTTGATCTTTTTTTTCCCCTAAAGTAACATGGTGGGATTGTCCTTGAAGGATTCTATGAGGGAGCAAGTTGGGCTATGAAACTGGATTAGCTATAGAATATGAAGATTTTTCTATCTGATGATATTAGAAATTAGGCATATTAATAGTAAACTTTGGTAAAGATAAATTGCACATTATTAGAAGTCCTTTTTTGACAGGTAAACCTTTGACCAATTTCTGACCAGAGAATTAAAGTGGGTTTTCTGTATTGAATAAGTTCATATATTACTCATGCTAATTAGAATTTTTCAATGGTGGGTTATTTTTCTCTTTTTGGTCACAACAACTTTTATAGTTGTCTTGGATCAAAGGCAACTCCTATCATTTATCATTATGATCAAATGATTTGGATATATCACTTCATATTATATATTTCTTCACTAGAACAAATAAATCCTTACTGTAGAAAATGGGGGCTATCTGTTTTTCTAAGTTATTCTCTTATGTATTTATATTTACTTTTTTGGAGCCACATGATGGGTATTTCTGATTAATACATTAATTAAAGTAAGCACTAAATGCAGTTCAGAGGCTAGCTAAGTAGTCTGAACTGTGTTAATTCCAAGAAAAAAATCCTGGCATCAAGCTAATTTACTGAGCTGAGGGTAGCAGGAGCAAGCCTGCCATAGCTGCAGATGCAGTTTGTGTTTCTTTATCACTTGATTTGACTTTAGCCATGGTAATCTTCAGTATTTTTTTTACTCCTTACCCTGCCTACCCTATTTCAACTCTTTCTTCTTGTCTTTAACTTCTTGATACAAATTTAATGTGTTTCAATGAGGAGTGCAGTTCTGCAGAAGACATCCCAGGAGTAAGACCCAAGCTGTTTTGAGGTCTGCCTGGAGTTCACAAGGGACTTGGACAGACTTTCTGTCAGGCACAGCAGGATAGCACTTAAAAATGTGCTCAACCCAAGAGAGGTAACTCAAACCTTGGTTACCTGTGGTTTCTTTGTTTTGGGAGCAAGTTAAAATGCTTTCTGTTTAGAAGGAATGAATCTATCCAAAAATGTTCTGAACTGCTTTTGTTAGTATAAGCAGAAATATTGCTGCAAGTCAATGTGTGATGGAAATGAATGATTTATAGTTTTTTATTGGATTCCTGAGTCTATTTTTATGCTTCTGTACTATTTCCTTTTCACTGTATCCCTATGAAGTTTATTTTTAAAGACCTACCCAGTTTTGGAGATGAAGAATGCTACTGAAAAGTAGTCTTCAAAAAATAGACTCCTAAACAGTGGTAACAGGAGCTTCAACCTCAGATGTTTGTTAAAAGAGTGTGAAACTCAGAAAAAATCAGGTCAGACTCATAAAAACCCCTTTTGAATGGAATTATTCCTTCAAACTCAGCCACAAGTAGGTTGTAACTGTTTTTTTTTTAACTGTCAATTTTTCTTGTTTTTTTCTGAAGACAGTTAAATATCATCTTGTCCTTCGCAAGTCCTATAGCTTCTAATGGGGGAACTCAGGGGTCCAGCTGTTCACTGCCATGTAGGCACACACTTCTCTCCTTGCCTGGGTGCTTTGTGACTGGAATCCACCTTGCAAGTTTACGAGAAATGTTGTCATGTGGACGACCTGCATGCTGCTTTTGTGTGATTCAGATATATTTTCTCTGGTATGAAATACTTATCTTTTAGTCATTTATGGACACAGCTCAAGTTACATGGTGGGGTGAGAGAAAAGTGGAAATCCTTTGTCAGCCCCCAGACATCTAGAAAAGTGGAAATCCTTTGTCAGCCCCCAGACATCTAGAGCAATTAATCTGGCTGATGACCAGCTCTGTTCCCCAAACTCCTGACTTACAGAACAAAGATTGGGCTTGATAAATTGGTCTAATGGGCTGCATACAATCTTGAAGCTATAGGCAGGATAC